TTTTTTCTATGCTAGTTTACCTGGAGGTTTATCAGTTTATTGATGTTGAAGGACTACCTTTTGGTGTTGTTGGTTTTTAAATTTTTCTTTCCCCAATTTAATTTATTTATGCTGTTATTTTATTTCTTTTCTTCTACTTGTTTTGGGTTATTTTACATTCTTTTTCTAATTTCTTAAGGTAGAAGATGAGATTATTGATTTTTGGATGCTGCCTTTGTCTTATAATATAAGCATTTATAGCTCTAACTCTCCCTATGTATACTCTTTAGATGTATTCCACTAATTTTGACTTGTTGTATTTTTATTTTTGTTTAAAATATTTTCTATTTTAAACATTCCTCTTTGGCTTTTATCCATGGATTGTTTAGAAGTGTGTTATTTTATTTTCAAATATTTGGGGATTTTTAAGATACATTTCTCTTGTTGATTCCCAGGTTAATTGTATTATGGTTACTGAACATATTTTTTATGATTTCAATTTTTAAAAATTTTTCTTTTTTTTTTAAGACTAGTCAAGTGCAGTAGTGAGAAGGGGGGAAAGTAGTAGAATAAGGAGTTCAATCTGTAACTGATTGTGAACAATCAGATGAGATAACTCACTACCTTTGGACTAGCCTCAATTTTTAAAAATTTCTTATGGTTTGTTTTATAATCCAGGAAATGGTTTATCTGGGTAAATATTCCATGTGCATTTTTTTAAAAATGTGATTCTGCTGTTTTTGGGTGGGGTGATATGTAAATATCACAGTCTATTTGATGATGTTGTTCCATTCTTCTACAATTTGCTGAATTTTTGTAAAATTTTTCTGTTGATTACTGCAAGAGAAATGTTGAAGTCTCCAATTATAAATGTGGATTCATCTATTTCCTTCGTTTCTATCTGTTTTTGCTTCATGTATTTGAGACCATGTTGTTAGGTACATACAATTATAAGATTCTTATGTGTTCTTGTTAAATTGATCCTTTTAACATTGCGTAATGTCCTTCTTTATCCCTGGTGATCTTTTTCTTGCTTGGTAGTCTACTTTGTCTTATATTAATAAAGTCCCTTCAGCTTTCTTTTGATTAGTGTTTTCATGGTGTACCTTTTTCCCTCGTTTTACTTTTAAACTGCCTGTATTATTATATTTTAAGTGGGTGTTTTTGGTAGGCAGAATATAGTTATGCCTAGTTTTTAATATAGTCTAACAATCTGTCTTTTAATTGGTATGTTTATGTCATTTATATTCAATATAATTATTGATATATTTCAATTTATGTTGATGATTTTATTATTTGTTTTTTGCTTGTTGTCTGCTTTTCATTCCTCTGTTTTCCCCTTTCTGGACATCTTTTGTATTATTTGAACATTTTGTTAGTATTTCATTTTTTTTGGTATCTCTTTATATGATTCTTTCAGTAGTTCTATGGATTGAGGTCTCTGTTTCTTGAATATAATAGAAATGCAATAAAAATTTGGTTGGTTTAAACAGAACTACTTAACTTTTAAGTGCTGTCTTCTTTTTCTTTATTTTTTAATGCATTTGTCAATTTTAGTTTTCATTATTTGAAGTGATTTTGAAAATACACTTGAAGTTTGAATA